ATACAATAATATATGTTAATATGATACCAGTCACATTTAGTGCGGCAGCTGATTTCATAAAAAAAAAAAAACGTCAACAATATCTTATATTCAAATCACATAAAAATCTTAATTTTGCTAGAACATACCAACAACAACAGCAGCATCCTATTCCCACACAAAAGAAAAATGAATCAACAAAGAAGACTTTAAACCATTCGATGGTATTTCTTAAGACATAAATATGAGATATATATAACATAATTACTGCAGCATTCCTGCCCTTTTTTATATATCTAGACCTGCCTGGCACGCTAAGGGTTGACTATGTGCACACAAAGGTGTCATTAACATGAAAAGTACTTATACTGTAATGCCAAATAATTAACTCAGAGATACAGTATCAGCTTTTAGCTTTTTATATCAACTGAAAATGACTTTCATTGATATTTGTACGGTCAACTCTGGATATAACGAATCATGAAAAACACAACATATGATGAAGTCAATAAATACAATAAAATTTGCTATAAAACTTTGGAGTTAAGATCAGACAGATAGAAATCGTGATATTTTTTACTATAAGCCATCATTACGCTATATCCAGACTTCGTAAAAGAAATATCGTATCATTACTTATCCCACTAACCTACATGCTACCATCGCATGAGTACCGAACATCTTTAATCTAAAAATCGATAGCGATAGCGATAATATGTACAGCAGGGACGATGATTTTCTGTGATTCACAGAATACAGCAGAATTTCTCTTAATCACAGCCAACCACAGAAATCACCCTTAGTCACCGCAGAATATCACATAATTCCAAAAAATGTGCAGAATATCACATAATTCACAAACCGGCGTCGGGAAATCCCGTAAAGACAATAAAACAACGTAAATTACGGAATTATTTGGTTTGGAAAAATTTATAATCGCATTAAATCACAGAAATTATAATTTAGTACACAGAATTGTAAAGAAATTATAAATGTTACCACAGAATTAGACAAAAATTTTATCACATTAAATTACAGAATTTGTCTTAACCACACGCCTTAACCACCGCAGAAAATCATCGTCCCTGATGTACAGTAACTATTTATGCACACTTCACATGACAAGATCAAATCGATTGGCTTTACTGTGTAATTTATGCACACTGCACATGACACATGTTTGGCGTTATTACCGTTACGGTATTATTAGCATTACGTTTATACAGTACAGTAATTACCTTTTACCCGTTACTGTACTAAAATGGTTCTAGAGGTTCTAGAAAGATTCAATACCTGGCTTTTTGGATCAGATGTCCTCAAACTTGACAAGTTTTTACTGGTACTACTTGTAGTTAGCTGTATATTATACACGTTTTTCTCGTTTGTGTTCAATCTACTACCTTCTAAGCAAAATAATAAAAATCAACCAGTTCGAGAATTACAAGTTCCAAGTGAAAAACCTGCTAAATTATCTAGGTTTGTACCTATCAAAAATTCTTCATAAACCTGCATTTAAAGCTCATACGTATAAGAGGATGGACAGCTTTAATAAATACTAAAATATGTTCTAATAATTAGAATCAAATAATTTTATACTGTATTTTTAGATTCACCCTATCATGATGAATAAAATAATACCAAAATTATTTAATTCTACTTAAATCAAAACATAGTTGTTTAAAAATTAAATTTATGTAAAAAAAAAAAAAAAAAAAAATAGGTAGAGTATTGTGGACAGTTAATCAACGGGCCGGTTTAAATGATTTAACCACGTCTCTAATGAGTACAAAATTGTTAAAATCCAATCATTGGATCCCGAGATCATTAAAGATTTGTGCATATCGATATTTAATTTATTTTGGAGTACAAATCTTTAACTATCTCAGGGTCCTGTGATTGGATTTTAACGTTTTTATGCTCTTATAATTGTCTCATCGAGATGATCATTTTGGTTTTAAATCATCTAAAACGGACCAGTGGATCAAAAAATTATTCACTGTCAAAGATTATATATATTCTTAATAATATAAATGATAATATCTCGTGGTCCAACAGCCAGAATTAGATGGTTTTTGTACTCTTATATTGTCTTTAAAACATAAATAAGATGGTATAAAGTTATCCAATTCTAATCACTAAATTTTGAAATATTAAGATCGTCCATCTCCCTTATATTACAAATTATATTGCAAATTACAATTTTTAAAATTTCCTTTTATAAAACAGGTTCACAACAACAAATATTGTATTACCATCTCATGCAGACTCTCGAGGCCTCATTTATGGAGGTGTTGTTTTAGGTTGGATCGATTTGGCTGCTGGAATGTCTGCAAAAAGACATGCTGTATATCTATGTGTAAAGCATTAATTTTTAAATTATTCTAATTTGATGATTAGGCTTATCTATTGTAATGTGTTTGAATATTTTTTATTTTGAATTTCTGTAGGTTACAAGAAGTGTTGATGCTGTACATTTTATGCATTCGATTAGAGTTGGTGATTTAGTTACAATTGTATCATGTGTTAACAAATCATGGAATACTTCAATGGAGGTAGTGTATTTGAAACTTATAATTGACTTAACTTGATTTGGAATATATTGATTACTCTTTTATCCTTCCAGGTTGGAGTACGTGTAGAGACAGAACATCCAATAACTGGGAAGCGAAAATATTGCTGTCAAGGTATAAATAAAGATACATTAATTAGTGATTCACCAGTCAACCAGAGAGTGATCATAGTGTAATGTGATGCAGTTTACATATAGAAATTAGGGTGGCTTGCTTCTATCTAAAACTTTTTCGTACTAAGTTAATCACCTTTGAGTCTCTAATTGAAGTTGTAGAGCTCGTCGAGACGAATCTAATGGTGGTAATGGTGGTTAAATCATCAAAATCGGCCTAGTAGATGTTGAAAGAAAAGTTTATATAGTCGGCGAAATGTTTTCGAAGATATCTCGTGATCCACCAGGCCAATTTTGATGATTTAACCACCATTAGATTCGCCTTAATGAGCTCTACAACTTCAATTAGGGACTTAAAGGTGATTAACTTAGTACGAAAAAAGTTTTAGATAGAAGCACATCAAATTTGAAAAACCCTAATTTCTATATATAAACCGCATCACTCTCTGGCTGACTGGCAAATCACCAATTAATATATATATATATGTTCTTTGTTTTTAAAATTTATTTGATTAATAATTTTTGAATAATTGAATAGCATACTTAACATTTGTGGCTCTCAGTCGTGGAAATTCGATAATTCCAGTGACGAAGAGATCTGAAAATTCACCTGTAACTGTACCTCGAATTGTACCAAATACTGTTATTGAAACACATCGATATGAATTAGCTGAACAACGTCGTCAAGCTCGTATATCTCAATCAAAAAATGCTAAAATAGAACGAGCTAAATTAACTAAAGTACGAGAAGTAATGCGTGAATGGGCAGAATATATGAATATGGAAACAAAAAGTAGTGCTGAGATACCACCTCTTTTACAAGAACCCGATGCTTACGAAGAACGGAATGATAATTTAGATAATGATCCTGCAAAATTATATCTTCATAGGAGAAGGTCAACATTGCAAGGCATCCTTCCAACACAACCTGATGAAAAATTGATGTCTGAAAGTTTTGCAGAAATAGCAGATCTTATATTACCACAGCATGCCAACTCATTGCAGGTATAAGATTTTATTTTATATAGACATGCTGTATTATAATTTATTTAGCATTATTAATACTAAAATTTTTTTAAATTATGTATTTAAATTAGATTACCTTTGTTTATATTATTAAGTTTCTTTTTTTCTTTTACATGTACTAATTTTTTCTTAGTGTCACGTTTGTGGTTAAGTGTATTGCTTTAGCTATCATTATACATGTATACATGTGTGCCTAAATTGAAAAAAAAAGTATTTTCGACAAACATTTCGACATTGCAAAGTTTTTATACTAAACCCTTCGAAATAACTATACTATATGATGTATTGTGATGAAAAGAGTTCAAAAAATTTCAGCAAATATGAAAATTAATTTCGGCTGCCTAAATGCCGTAATTGCTTTTTTATTAAGATGGGCAATTTAGGTATACATGTATAACTATCATCATTACTTCATTTTCCAGAATTTCTAACAAACTACAACCATTGGTGATTATCACCAGAATGCTATATCTAAAAAAATCCTACAAGCTAATTCATGTAAGAGGTGCTAAGCAAAAATGTTCAGAATCCCCAAAACATAGCCATAAAAATAAGAGGCGGCGATGATAACCACTGGTTATTTGTAGTAAAGTCAAATTTTAAATTATTGGTTAATAAAATATATTCTTTTATATTTCAATCTAACCAAATTAAAAAAACCAGTCAGATATAAACCAAAATTTAAATATTATAGGAAACCATGATTTTTAACAAACCACTACTTTTAATAATTTTATACTTAATATCATTTATAAATATACGTTAAAATACTGTAATTGATTCATGTTTCAAAAGAAAATCTTTTATTGTCAAAAAGGATATAAACTATAAACTAGGTAACATATTTTGCCAATAGCCAACATAGAGTCGCTATTATTATATTTTAGCTCAAAATATTTATACGATGCTTCATGGCTTTATGTGAAGTTTCTAAATAGATCAAAGTGGATAATCTAACCTTCATTTATTTTCAGCACCCAACTATGTACACCTGTCAACAAATGAAACTTATAATAAAATGAGTTATCATACTTACATGACCATTACCGTTTAAATATTATGTTGAGTCTTGTTTACTTGTAAACTAGCAAAAATATAAAATTAATATTTAGTCAACAAATCACATCTATTTAGTCTCTGATTCTAAATTTAATCATACTTGCTCAAATTCTTCAGGATGTGTAGACAACTCTTTTTGTATTATTTCCTTGCGTTGCAAAAGTCGGCAATTTCTCCGTGCTCTTGCACCTTCAAATATTTCTATCATATGTGGTTGAACTGGTCTGATATGTGGAACAGGTGTTGGTATATTTGAAAAATCAACGGCAACTATTATAATAGTGGTATTTATGTTAAATATAATTTGAAATTTTTCTTCAAAAGTGGTAAATTAAGTGAAAATCAACCCATTGTGAAGAATCCATCATTAGTGAAGAAGCTTTCACCCGTTAAGACATTTTCTGCATAAACAAGATGTAAAATAGTATATATAATATTAATATTTAAAATTATTTTAGCATAACATAATATGCATATTTCAATATATACCAGCTTCCACAGACACATATATTTCCAAGCTTGAATGGAATGTACAAGACACAATAGAACGTACTGTTATGCCTACATGAATATAAAATAATTTATAAAAATTTGAAAACTAAATAAAATCTGAATATTAAATAACATAGTCCAAAAATAAACAGAAATTCATACAATCACCAACATAAGTTGGTCTAATAAATTGAAGAGAATCGATACTATAAAAAATATATATAAATATCATATAAAATATTAAATAGAAATTTCCAAAAAAAAACATACAAAATTATAAATTACCTCGCTAATAATAAAAATCTCCTAGAATGTCTAGAAGCACTAACAAGAGCACACTGTTCCATCAATCTCATAATATAACCACCAAAGGTAATCTAATTTAAAAACATAATTTAAAAAAATTTTAGTATTAATAATGCTAAATAAATTATAATACAG